TTCAACGCGACATAGACAGAGCTGTCCTTAAACAAGGTCCATTGAATGACATGCAGTACAATCTTTCCAAGGGACTCTGATTCAACACAATTTTCAAACGACTCAATTGCCAGGTGATAATTAGTACAGATGACCTGACAGTTTGTCACAGTGTAACCAATCAATGCCTAAGATGATTAAAAATGTACAACCAGACTTTGACATACAATACGTGAGACTACCTTGTTATCTTGTAGGAATATGGATTATTTTGACAAGCTTCGATATTCCATTACTCAAATAGAAAGCGATATAATGTCAGTAACAAAATTGTCATTGACAACAAATATCGCGTGTGTTAATGAGAATATTCTCAAACACACCGAAGATATTACCGTTAAAGGTCATGGTATATTTAACACATTCAGCCATACCAAAGAACTGTGTGATTACTGTTCTTGGTTTGTGTCATCTCTGTCCTATTACTTTAATGTCTGCTTTATGAGACGATCCCTGACATGACAGTGAAACAACGCCAATGATATGTGAACAGAACCTGTAAACAGTTAGAAGAAAGCCGTCAGTTAGTCACGCTGTACTAGACAGCGTGTATATTTCATGTGTCAGTATCTGCTAAATAATGACGATTTCTGAGATACCAGATTGTATGAATGGTAATTATACATCATTCAGTAGACGGGGGTAGCCTTTTTTAGGGACCCACCGTTTGAAAAATAAATGAAACATTCATTGGTGCAAGAGGATTTGAAAAAAACATATATCATGGTTCTTAATTTAAATTTCAAAATATGTACTGAATTTCTCCAGTGTTTATACAAAACCCAAATCCCGTGTTCTTTCACTGGAGCTGTGTTGCGAACAGGAACCGATACTGCAAATATAGTAAGCTTGACATCATACTATAGTTATTCTACATAATTACAAATATTCTACTGTCAATACGAATGTTATTGCATAAATATGTGTTAAGGTTGATACGAATGTTACGCAGCAGATGTGTTACACCTGATAGGAATGTTGCACAACTTATAGATACGTTACAGCTGGTACGAATGTTGCACAACATATAGATGTGTTACAGCTGATACGAATATTACACTACACAGCTGTGTTACAGGTTATACGAATGTTACACAACATATAGGTGTGTTACAGCTGGTACGAACGTTGCACTGCAAATATATATGTGTTACAGCTGATACGAATGTTACACAACACATAGATATGTTACAGCTGATACGAATGTTGCACAACTTGTAGATGTGTTACATCTGGTACGAATGTTGCATTGCATATAGATGTGTTACATCTGGTACGAATGTTGCATTGCATATAGATGTGTTACAGCTGGTACGAGTGTTGCGCTCCATATAGATGTTTTACAGCTGATACGAATGTTGCACTACATATAGATGTGTTACAGGCAATCCAAATGTAACACTGAGAATATATGGATGTGTTACACTGATACGAGTGTTTTACAAATGCATGTAATAAGAATGTTGCACTACATATAGACGTGTTGCAGGTGATTCAAATGTAACACTTATAATATATGCACGTGTTACAGTCAACACAGGTTATGCAAGTGTTGCAATACACTTAGATGTTTTACAGCTGATACGAATGTTGCACTACGTATAGATGTGTTACAGGCAATAAAAATGTAACACTGAGAATATATGTGGGTGTTACAATCAACACAGCTGATACGAATGTTGCACTACATATAGATGTGTTACAGGCAATACAAATGTAACACTGATAATATATGTGGGTGTTACAATCAACACAGCTGATGCGAATCTTGCTTTACACATAAATGTGTTACAGACTATACGAATGTTTGGTAAGTCTATTTCTTGCTTCCAAGTTGACTATTATGTTACCATAAATTCGCTTGTTACATCGTCTACGTACGTTACAAAAGATAAGCAGGTACCCATGTTACAGTGTATATTTACTTCATGGTGGAGACACTGTTCTCAATGAATAGATACTGTATTACTGTTTTTTACCGTGAATATGAATGATACAGAGAATATGTACTAGCACCATCACAGAATGTAAAACGAAAATTTGATACGCAAATCGATACGCATGTTAGAGTACATACTCATAGCCACATTCGCGCGTAAATATATCAGATGGAGAGGTAATCGATATATTCCTTTCGTCAGTGAAAATACATTTCCCGAACTGCTTCATACCAGGGACAAAAGCTCTCTTCTTGCTAATTATCTCTGAACGCCTTTCACTCGCATGCAATCAACCTTTGACCAAAAATAGATATGTTTTTAATGTTTGCGTTTAATGTCGATACAAACGACTCAAGTGTTTGGTTTTTGGTATGGCACAAAAGACGCAGGCCAGGTCCCAATGGCAATGGAATTCCGTTTAGTTGCGCCACTGAATGGTTTTCATTCGCCAGTCTTGTGGGCAATACATTTACTGACACAAGTGGATGGTGATGGTCGAGGGCGGAAACTAGAAACAAAAGGCTTTCTTCTCGCTGCCTAATGATGTGTGTTGATTGTGTTATCAAAGCGGAACCATAAATTCTATGCTGTTCTAATTGCATTTACAGGAGAGGGAGTTCATGGTTGATGCTACAATAGAAACCCGGTACCCAGTAAATAACTAAACACTAAGTTATTTAAGTTTAAACGATATTATCAGCGCGAGTAAATGTAGTGAGCGACGTGGTATTGGATTGAAGGGGGAGGTTACAAGAGAATGAACATGTGGATACGCCAAAGGCGCTTTTTGCTCAGTGTCTTGATTTGCCCCCGGGTACACTGAAATCGGACCTCGGTTTATTTCAGTTCGTACATTTGCTATGTTCACATAATTTCATCGATCATATTGTCCTAGCAACTGATTACAGTCACACACTCTGTTTACACTGGTGCTGATCACCAAAATATGGGTTTCCAGGACTGATTAACCATTTATTGTTGCCTTTGCGACAAGAGTGCAGTTACAATTAAATGAAACAAATTAAAGCAATCTATGTAGACATAATTTCAGCTGTAACTTAGAATTGTCACAGGACTTGATTCCTCTCATTTCTGATGGAAGGTCATTCCAGAGCATTGTTGCAGCAGTTCTGAATGCCCTTAGTCCATATCCCTTCAGTCTGTAAGATGTTCACAAATTAGTTTATTAAGGTATGGTGGAGCTGTGCCCTCGCGGCACCTGAACGTCAAGCACAGTATCTTATACTTGGTCCTGGCTTCTACAGGACGCCAGTGACGGGTTCTGAGAACCGGAGTGATGTAGCTCATCCCTGAAACCTGATAGGTGTGAAAACGGTGGAACATGGAGGCAGGGGGTGCCTTGATACAATATAAACCCATTCATGAAGACATTGGTTCAAAGATAACACTATAAATGCCATTTATGCTTTATTCGCACAAACATGATTTTTCATTTGTGTAAGCGTTGATCAATAATAAAGGCTTAAAATACATGCCTAATTTGGCTTCTTCTTCCATTGGCAAACTAACATATTGCTGTAGATGTTTGTGTATTGTTCCTTTGGACTTTTGCAATAATCTATATGATCACATGAGCTCCCATGTAAAGGTACTGTTTTCCCTAATTAAGTATATTTTTTAAATCCAAATACCAGTTATTTCTATAATTGGTTAACAACACGTGTAACGCTCACTGCAGAGTCAAAGGCCAAAAAGAAATTCTTTTCGATTATAAATAGTACTATAGCATACCACAGTTTTCAAATTTACATGGAGCAATACACAATGAAATGTGGAGATATGTATCGTTTACCAGTCAATGTTGCACAGTGCCATTAACAATGCAAGGCCTAGACGCAGTCTATCATTGGTCGGACAATGTTACACAGTGCCATTAACAATGCAAGGCCTAGACGCAGTCTATCATTGGTCGGACAATGTTGCACAGTGCCATTAACAATGCAGTGCCTAGACGCAGTCTATCATGGGTCAGACAATGTTGCACAATGCCATTAACAATGCAGTGCCTAGACGCAGTCTATCATTGGTCAGACAATGTTGCAGAGGGCCATTGACAAAGCAACGTGTAGACAGCATCTATCAGTGGCCAGTAGATGTTGGAGAGATACATAAACAAGGAAAGGGATTGACAGTATCTATCAGTGGCTAGTAGAAGGGATTGACAGCATCTATCAGTGGCTAGTAGAAGGGATTGACAGCATCTATCAGTGGCCAGTAGATGTTGGAGACAGACATGAACAAAGAAACCCTTTGACAGCATCTATCAGTGGCCAGTAGATGTTGTAGACAGACATGAACAAGGAAACCCGTTGACAGCATCTATCAGTGGCCAGTAGATGTTGTAGACAGACATGAACAAGGAAACCCGTTGACAGCATCTATCAGTGGCCAGTAGATGTTGTAGACAGACATGAACAAGGAAACCCGTTGACAGCATCTATCAGTGGCCAGTAGATGTTGTAGACAGACATGAACAAGGAAACCCGTTGACAGCATCTATCAGTGGCCAGTAGATGTTGTAGACAGACATGAACAAGGAAACCCGTTGACAGCATCTATCAGTGGCCAGTAGATGTTGTAGACAGACATGAACAAGGAAACCCGTTGACAGCATCTATTAGGGCCAGTAGATGCTGTAGAGAGACAATAAACAAGGAAACGCTTTGACAGTTTCTATCACTAACCAGTTAATTGTGCTGAGAAAGCAACTGCTGTTGCTAATGCATTTGACAACCTATATCAACCCCCAAGCCCTCTGTTGCCGGAATACGGACTATGTGGGTTATGAATTAGTCGCCTAGTCCAGCGTTAATGCCAGGAGATCGACAATCAAGATAACGTAATCCACACTGTTAAGTTTATTTAAGTTAGGAGAGTGTTCTGGTGGCAGTGTACAGAGCGACTATAGACAGGAAAGAGTTGCCTTATATTCAAGATTGATTTAACACTGAATTTTAGCTTGAAACAATTCATCAATTTACTTTCTCATTATCTACCAATATGTCGTATATTCCAAAAGCTTCAGCCTTTGGTGTTTACATTTCTGAGAAATGGTGTTTTGCTTGTTACTAACATGTCTACTCAACAAAGTGTCCCAACAGGCTCCCCAACTAGGTGTCCCAACAGTCTCACCAACTAGGTGTAACATCAGTCTCTTGAACAAGGTGTCCCAACAGTCTCCCCCACTAGGTGTCCCAACAGTCTCTCCAACAAGGTGTCCCAACAGTCTCCTCAACAACGTGCCCCAAACAGTCTCCCCAACAAGGTGTCCCAACAGTCTCCCCCACTAGGTGCCCCAACAGTCTCCCCAACAAGGTGTCTCAACAGTCTCCTCAGCAAGGTGCCCCAACAGTCTCCTCAACAAGGTGCCCCAACAATCTCCCCCACTAGGTGCCCCAACAGTCTCCCCAACTAAGTGTCCCTACACTCTCCCCAACTAGGTGTCCCAACAGTCTCCTCAACTAGGTGTCCCAACAGTCTCCTCAACAAGGTGTCCCAACAGTCTCCCCCACTAAGTGTCCCAACAGTTTCCACTCTAGGTGCCCCAAAAGTCTCCTCAACAAAGTGTCCCAACAGTCTCCTCAACTAGGTGTCCCAACAGTCTCCCCATCAAGGTGTCCCAACAGTCTCCCCCACTAGGTGTCCCTACAGTCTCCTCAACAAGGTGCCCCAACAGTCTCCCCATCAAGGTGTCCCAACAGTCTCCCCCACTAGGTGTCCCAACAGTCTCCCCATCAAGGTGTCCCAACAGTCTCCCCCACTAGGTGACCCTACAGTCTCCTCAACAAGGTGCCCCAACAGTCTCCCCATCAAGGTGTCCCAACAGTCTCCCCCACTAGGTGTCCCTACAGTCACCCCATCAAGGTGCCCTAACAGTCTCCCCCACTAGGTGTCCCTACAGTCTCCTCGACAAGGTGCCCCAACAGTCTCCCCATCAAGGTGTCCCAACAGTCTCCCCCACTAGGTGTCCCTACAGTCTCCCCAACAAGGTGCCCCAACAGTCTCCTCGACAAGGTGTCCCTACAGTCTCCCCATCAAGGTGTCCCAACAGTCTCCCCCACTAGGTGTCCCTACAGTCTCCTCAACAAGGTGCCCCAACAGTCTCCCCATCAAGGTGTCCCAACAGTCTCCCCCACTAGGTGTCCCTACAGTCTCCCCAACAAAGTGTCCCAACAGTCTCACCAACTAGGTGCCCCAACACTCTCCCCCACTAGGTGCCCCAACAGTCTCCCCCACTAGGTGTCCCTACAGTCTCCTCGACAAGGTGCCCCAACAGTCTCCCCATCAAGGTGTCCCAACAGTCTCCCCCACTAGGTGTCCCTACAGTCTCCTCAACAAGGTGTCCCAACAGTCTCCCCCACTAGGTGTCCCTACAGTCTCCCCATCAAGGTGTCCCAACAGTCTCCCCCACTAGGTGTCCCTACAGTCTCCCCATCAAGGTGTCCCAACAGTCTCCCCCACTAGGTGTCCCTACAGTCTCCTCAACAAGGTGTCCCAACAGTCTCCCCCACTAGGTGTCCCTACAGTCTCCCCATCAAGGTGTCCCAACAGTCTCCCCCACTAGGTGTCCCTACAGTCTCCTCAACAAGGTGTCCCAACAGTCTCCCCCACTAGGTGTCCCTACAGTCTCCCCATCAAGGTGTCCCAACAGTCTCCCCCACTAGGTGTCCCTACAGTCTCCCAACTATGTGCCCCAACAGTCTCCCAACTAGGTGCCCCAATTATTCATCTTAAAAAAGTTGTCGACTTAAAACGACTTAAGGTGTCCCAACAGTCTCCCCCACTAGGTGTCCCTACAGTCTCCCCAACAAGGTGCCCCAACAGTCTCCTCGACAAGGTGCCCCAACAGTCTCCCCATCAAGGTGTCCCAACAGTCTCCCCCACTAGGTGTCCCTACAGTCTCCTCAACAAGGTGCCCCAACAGTCTCCCCATCAAGGTGTCCCAACAGTCTCCCCCACTAGGTGTCCCTACAGTCTCCCCAACAAAGTGTCCCAACAGTCTCACCAACTAGGTGTCCCTACAGTCACCCCATCAAGGTGCCCCAACAGTCTCCCCCACTAGGTGTCCCTACAGTCTCTTTGACAAGGTGCCCCAACAGTCTCCCCATCAAGGTGTCCCAACAGTCTCCCCCACTAGGTGAACCTACAGTCTCCTCAACAAGGTGTCCCAACAGTCTCCCCCACTAGGTGTCCCTACAGTCTCCCCATCAAGGTCTCCCAACAGTCTCCCCCACTAGGTGTCCCTACAGTCTCCTCAACAAGGTGTCCCAACAGTCTCCCCCACTAGGTGTCCCTACAGTCTCCCCATCAAGGTGTCCCAACAGTCTCCCCCACTAGGTGTCCCTACAGTCTCCTCAACAAGGTGTCCCAACAGTCTCCCCACTAGGTGTCCCTACAGTCTCCCATCAAGGTGTCCCAACAGTCTCCCCCACTAGGTGTCCCTACAGTCTCCCAACTATGTGCCCCAACAGTCTCCCAACTAGGTGCCCCAATTATTCATCTTAAAAAAGTTGTCCACTAGGTGCCCCAACAGTTTCCACTCTAGGTGCCCCAACAGTCTCCTCAACAAAGTGTCCCAACAGTCTCCTCAAGTAGGTGTCCCTACAGTCTCCCCATCAAGGTGTCCCAACAGTCTCCCTCACTAGGTGTCCCAACAGTCTCCCAACTAGGTGCCCCAACAGTCTCCCAACTAGGTGCCCCAACAGTCTCCTGAACAAGGTGCCCAAACAGTCTCCTCAGCAAGGCGCCCAAACAGTATCCTCAACAAGGTGTCCCAACAGTCTCTTCAACAAGGTGTCCCAACAGTCTCCTCGACAAAGTGTCCCAACAGTCTCCCCCACTAGGTGCCCCAACAGTCTCCTCAGCAAGGCGCCCCAACAGTCTCCTCAACAAGGTGCCCCAACAGTCTCCTCAACAACGTGCCCCAACAGTCTCCTCGACAAGTTGTCCAAACAGTCTCCCCAACTAGGTGTCCCAACAGTCTCCCCAACAAGGTGTCCCAACAGTCTCCCCAACTGTGTCCAACAGTCTCCCCAACAAGGTGTCCCAACAGTCTCTTAAACAAGGTGTCCCAACAGTCTCCCCCAACTAGGTGTCGAAACACTCTCCCCAACAAGGTGTCCCAACAGTCTCCCCAACTAGGTGTCCCATCAGTCTCTTAAACAAGGCGTCCCAACAGCCTCCCCAACAAGGTGTCCCAACAGGCACCTCAACAAATTTTCCCATCAGCCTACTCAACAAGTTGTTCCCTCAAAAATGTAAAAATACTAACATATATATCTACTCATCAAGGTGCCACTCGTGATCCAACGAAATTGAGAAACGTCCAAACCAAGTGGGAAACATATTAACATTAAGAACCTCCACTCACCAAACATAACGTCATCACTAGAGAATATTCAGTCTTGGTCATTTGGACCTCAACGGAAAAACAGTGGTGAATAGTTATTTTTGGATCACCGAAATATCAGTGATGACACGGCCTTCGCGGAACGGTATATGGCATAGAATTCATTTATTCATCTATGCAATCGAAGGGCAGGTCAAATCAGTTTAGTAGTCTATTTGGAAGACACTCAAACGATTGTAGAATATTTGACACGTTACTAAGTCTTGTCAACATGATACGTTATGCTATATCATCCATCTCTGTTCATTTCATCGGAGAACATCTCACCCCACCCCATTCATCTCACCATCCGCCTATTTTTCGTACATCTCACCTCACCCCATCATCTCACAATCCACGTCTTAAACCTCACCCCATCAAACTCACCATCTATTTCGTACATTTTAGCTCGATCCATCTATTTCGTAATCCTCCACTCCGTAAATCTTACCTCATCCCATCATCTGACTATTCACTTAGAACTTTATCTTTACCCCATCTATCTATCTCACCATCCACTTCGTACATCTCACCTCACCCCATCATCTCACAATCCACTTCTTACACCTCACCACATCAATCTCACAATCCGACTCACAACTCGACCCATCTATTTCGCAATCCTCCACTCCGTAAATGCCACCTCATGTGCCATCCTTCTGACTATTCACTTAAAACTTTAACTTCACCCCATGTATCTATCTCACCATCTACTTCGTACATCCCACCTCATCCCATCCATCTGACTATTCACTTAGAACTTTACCTCACCATCCACTTCGTACTTCTCATCTCATCTCTTTCGTCTCACCATCCACGTTGTACAATTTCCCTCAACCCGTCCATTTCACCACGTACTTAGTACACCTCACTTCATCCAATCGATCTCGCCACTTCGTAATCTCTTCACGACCCCTTCCGTATCCCCATCCTCCACATCGAACATCTCAGACCCCATTAACCATCTCACCAACAATCTATTCATACATCTCAATTCATCTCACCCATCTCACCACAATGTCGTACATCTCACCCCACCCTATCCATCTCACCATTCTCCACTTCGTACGTCTCACCTCATTTATTCCATCTCACCATCTTTCACGTCGTCCCTCTCACTTCACCCCATCAATCACGCCATCCCCCACCTCGACATCTCACCCTCCGTCTTCCTGAAATGTTCACCCCACCCATCGCCTGCTCCACAAGTCTGCTTCGCGTTTTGACCTTAGTCTCCAACCACCGTCACCCTGATACACCCCACCATCGTCCACTGTGCTCCCCAAACCGCTCAAGTCTTTATGGCTGTTAAACTGCTGTTCTGACGTACCTGTGTGAAGTCAGTGTTCGATATATCGATCTTGCCTCTGCCTTCCCCATCGGCGTCTGTATCAACATCAGTAGTGGCTGTAAGCGTTGAGGGAACATCACCTCTTTACCTGTATGGCGGGACAACGCTCAAGGAAGCTGTGGTAGCGAGAGGTAAGTTGCAACACGCGGTTACAGATTTACAAGGGTTGATTAGGGGTTTTAGTTTATTTCTTGATTTTGCAAGGCTACCGATCAACAGACTTATAAAGTGTGAGATGTATAGTCTTTATATCACGTAGCAAAACAAAGCAAACATATGTTTCTTATCTGACAAATCAGAGCAGTGAAAAAAATATTGTTACTTTCATTACAGGTTTTATCATTTCACCAACTAGTGAATCATTATTTTTTTGTTAACTTCACTATTAATTTGACATATCTTAATATGACTTAGGATAATCTTATTAAGTTCCGTTTTACTTAGGCTACTGGTTACAGGTTTCAAACCATGAAAAATCAACTGTGGCCTGATACATTTAATATATTCAAAACTTAATAATTGTGACTTTAGGTCTACGCCTAAATGTTGCGACTATTGGTACTTTGTTTGATCACATTAATGTTTTTGATAGGCACGAGAATATAGAAAAGAAAGCGTTTGATAACGATTCTACCTAAGGTTGTAACTAGAAGATTGATAGGGATCCAGCATATGTACAGCTGCATTAATTTCTGTGATGTCCTTGTATAGCTATATTAATTTCTGTGACGTCCTTGTATAGCCATATTGAGTTCTTCGATGTCCTTATATATCTATATTGAGTTCTGTGATGTCCTTGTATAGCTATATGAAGTTCTGTGACGTCCTTGTATAGCTATATTAAGTTTTATGACGTCCTTGTATAGCTATATTAAGTTCTTCGATGTCCTTGTATAGCTATATTAATTTCTGTAACGTCCTTGTATAGCTTTATTGAGCTCTGTGACGTCCTTGTATAGCTATATTAAGCTTTGTGACGTCCTTGTATAGCTATATTAAGTTTTGTGACGTATTTGTATAGCTATCGTTTTGGTGACGTCCTTGTATAGCCATATTGAGTTCTGTGACGTCCTTGTATAGCTATATTACGTTTTGTGACGTCCTTGTATAGCTATATTGAGTCCATCGATGTCCTTGTATATCTATATTGCGTTCTGTGACGTCCTTGTATAGTTATATTGAGTTCTTCGATGTCCTTGTATATCTATATTGAGTTCTGTGATGTCCTTGTATAGCTATATTAGGTTTGTGACGTCCTTGTATAGCTATATTGAGTTCTGTGACGTCCTTGTATAGCTATATTAAGTTTTATGACGTCCTTGTATAGCTATATTAAGTTCTTCGATGTCCTTGTATAGCTATATTAATTTCTGTAACGTCCTTGTATAGCTTTATTGAGCTCTGTGACGTCCTTGTATAGCTATATTAAGCTTTGTGACGTCCTTGTATAGCTATATTAAGTTTTGTGACGTATTTGTATAGCTATCGTTTTGGTGACGTCCTTGTATAGCCATATTGAGTTCTGTGACGTCCTTGTATAGCTATATTACGTTTTGTGACGTCCTTGTATAGCTATATTAAGTTTTGTGACGTCCTTGTATAGCTATATTGCGTTCTGTGACGTCCTTGTATAGCTATATTGCGTTCTGTGACGTCCTTGTATATCTATATTGAGTTCTGTGACGTCCTTGTATAGCTATATTGAGTTTTGTGACGTCCTTGTATAGCTATTTTCAGTTTTGTGACTTCCTTGTATAGCTATATTGAGTTCTGTGATGTCCTTGTATAGCTATATTAAGTTTTGAGACGTCCTTGTATAGCTATATTAAGTTATGTCACGTCGTTTTATAACATATTAATCCCTATTACTTCTTGTGGACCTGTATTACTTTGTACAGCTTTAATGGGTTATCACGTCATTGTTGAGCTGTATTAAGTTCTATTGCGTCGTTGTACATGTGTATTAAGTTCTAGCATGATATTTTACAGCTGCTTTAAGTTCCATTTCTTCGCTGTATTGGTTTAACAACTTCTTACAATGCGTTGTAGTTCAAGCACGTCATGTTCTACTTCATCTTGTTCTCTGTGTTCAGATGCCGTTCGCAATGCCCGAGCATGCTGTATAAATCTTGGAATCGCATTGCATAACTGTATTATTTTTCTATATTGGCGTGGCATTGTATATATGAGTATGTAGGTCCTAGCGTGTCATTGTATATATGAGTATGTACGTCCTAGCGTGTCATTGTATATAGGTGCATGTACGTCCTTGCATAACTGTATTATTTTTCTATATTGGCGTGGCATTGTATATATGAGAATGTACTGCCCAGCATGGCATTGTATACATGAGAAGGTACGTCCTAGCGTGTCATTGTATATAGGTGTATGTACGTCCTAGCGTGTCATTGTATATAGGTGTATGTACGTCCAAGCGTGACATTGTATATAGGTGTATGTACGTCCTAGCGTGACATTGTATATATGAGTAGGTACGTCCTAGCGTGTCATTGTATATAGGTGTATGTACGTCCTAGCGTGACATTGTATATAGGTGTATGTACGTCCAAGCGTGACATTGTATATATGAGTAGGTACGTCCTAGCGTGTCATTGTATATATGAGTAGGTACGTCCTAGCGTGTCATTGTATATAGGTGTATGTACGTCCTAGCGTGGCATTGTATATATGAGTGTGTACTGCCAAGCATGGCATTGAATACAGACATAAGTACGTGTTAGGGTCACATTGCACAAATTTAATATGTTTTAGTATAGCTGCATTACGTTTTTAACTGTGGAATGTTGACAAGACTTTTGATAGCAATACCAACCACCTCGGTACCAATGGCAAACAATATGGAGATTATTACACGTCTGATCAGTACCAAAATAATATAAGCAATACCCTACCGCACAAGTCAAGGTGAAAATGAGAAGATGCAACAATTATTATAACCAGTTTAAACATTACTGGATTGCAATGCGTTAACATACATATAGGTGACAAAACCTTTTTCATACCCCATAAGAAAACGGAGCTCCTTCTGATGTTCCGAGCATGTGTAAATCAAATTATGATGCTAAAATATACGGAGATCTCTCTGAGAATGTAATTTGTTTTCATAATTAAAGTAGAGTGTACACTGCGGGTGGTAACAAAGTCGACAAGAACGACTAAACGGAACTGATAGTTGCAGAAATAACTACCTACTATGTTTCTATTTCACTGGGTTTTTCATGGTAACAAATGGGTGCAGTAGAAAGTCAATGTATCGACCACTGTGTCATCAAGGTTATTATAGCAACTTGTCGTTAATATACATATTAAGATATATAGAATGGGGTAGGGGTGGATGGGAGGAGGGAGAGGATTATGTTTCAACTTAGACTTTCGTACACACTAATGGTTGCGATAATCTTTCTTTTGGCATTAAGCCCATTTCACTTCACCCTAAACAGACTCACCGGTCGGAATGTATTGATTCAGCATCTGTTTCGTTTTCATCTTTTAAGTTACATGATGTGCCAGATTATTCAGGTAATATAGTAATTGATTCAACACACGCGTATTTCATCTCATGTGTTGCAAGCTGGACTAGCTTATTCAGGTAATATAACAGTTGCTTCAACACAGGAGTATTTCATCTTATAAGGTACGTGATGCACCAGATTATTCAGGTAATATTAGAGTTGCTTGAACACAGGTGTATTTCATCTTATAAGGTACGGGATACACCAGATTATTCAGGTAATATTAGAGTTGCTTCAACACAGGTGTATTTCATCTTATAAGGTACGGGATACACCAGATTATTCAGGTAATATTAGAGTTGCTTCAACACAGGAGTATTTCATCTCATAAGGTACGTGATGCACCAGATTATTCAGGCAGTGTTACAGTTGACTCAACACATTTCAAAATGTATTCACATTAAGTTTGTACTAGACGTTTGTTTGGTAATGCAATAACAACAACAGCACCCACAAAGGGTGGCCAGCTTGGGTTAACTGAGTCACGTTTTGCTTGCATTGTAATAGTGACAATGTCCCTTTTCCCATGTGTTTATTGCCATCGGTATTCATAAGTGTTAGTACTGACACGCTCTGACATATTGATTGGTTTTAAGGAGACTGTACTATCATTAATGTGTCAATATTGATAAGTGTCACACCCCAGTGCTTGATTTTTTGTAACTTAGGTCAATAAACAAAGACGTAGTGTTGAAGAGTGCCAATTACTTTCATTTCCATTTACACATATGTTGATAAACACACAAACACTTTTTCAGACGCAAGCATATTTCGATTGGATCCTAATTGACTAAACAAACGCTAAACAGTGTTGTTTAAATTGTTTCAAATCACACACACACAAGCACGTATTTAAAGAATGCTACCTCAGTCTTACGAAAACATGTTCAATGATATTGAAACAAATTTACATTATTTTCTGTTTAAACATGAAACAATACTACTTATTAAATTTATAATGCACGTTGATTTACTTACTGTCATTTACTGACAGTTTACAAAATACAAAGCTGTGTTTGTAAGCCCATGAGTCTGTCTAATTGTGAAACACGAGATGTATGTATTCATCATAGAGGTTACAATGTCATAATGTGACGGTATTTAGTGCGCAGGGGGGCGGGCTTGAAGTACTTCTATTCACTTACTGCAGCCTAAAGAACATTTTGTATGAATCCTTGTTTTCAGTTGGCATTAAACATGCCTTGTTTTATTAATTCGTCCTAATATACATGTGCATTTCGTTAATGACTACAGCTTACATCATGTTCTATTGATCATTATGACTGTTAAAGTACAGGAATCACTGTTGTCGTGAGCTATTATCACTTATCAGTATGGTGACACTGTAAAGTTTCAAATTGGTTTGGAGAAAATGTAGTCAAACATATACAGAAAAGGCTGAGGTTAAATGGGGTTCACCGTAACATTCAAGGTGATTTCTTCTTTAACTGGTATTTAGAAGCTGGTAAGATGAAGTGGAACCAGTTATATGGATCGACATCTTCTTTATTGCAATAAATGCGACATTTCGGTGTAGATGCTAACACCGTTATCACCCAAGTGATACACAACGTTATGCACAAGGCGGATATATACAT